TTTGTGTAATATAAACTCGGTTTTCTATTGAAAGATTTATTTTCTAACAATTCGTCATAGAGTAAACATGTCTCATTCATGCCATATCCGTGGAAAATATTTCTCTAAACCGTTCAATTTACGTCGACACAAACAAAAAGTGCATGATCAAAAACCAACCGACAACATTCGCATGGTGACTAATGGATCTGCAGTTTTGCAACACCCATTTACATGAATCGTTGCAAGATGTACCCAAAGCGGTAAGACTGTATGGGTGAAATCTCTCTTGGAGAATGCACAAAAAACTATAAGTCCACCTCCTCAACGTATCATTTGGTGTTATGGTCAATGGCATGATGAGAACGATGCCTGGAGTCGAGTTTAATCAAGGCATTCCCGACGATATCGACAACGCAGATTACTTGGACGTATCTCAGCGGAATTTGATCGTATTGGATGATCCTCGTGGCACAATCTAGCAAGGATAAACGTATTGCTGATCTTTTTACGAAAGGAAGTCATCATCGAAATTTGTCTATCATCTATATTGTCCAAAATATATTTCATCAGGGCAAAGAAATGAGAAATATCAGCCTTAATGCCAATTATATCGTGTTGTCCAAGTCACCAAGAGATAAACAAGAAATTTCTATGCTTGCCAGACAAGTAAATCCCGGGAAAGTACAAGAGTTTATGAGAAGTTATGAAGATGCTACGAGCCGACCTCACGGGTATTTGATGTTGGATTTAAAGCCAACAACAAGTGACCAAGATCGACTTAAGACGAATATATTTCCCGGCGAGATTGCAAAGTTTATACAAAAACAGTCGTATCGACAACCACCGCTTATAAATGCCATGTATGATGCCGAACAGAGAATGAAAGAAATCATGGAAGCACCACAGCTTAGCGCCGTGGAAAAAAGCAAGCTGTACTCTGATCAACTAAATCGGTTTCTGACATTCAAAAATAAAATGGCTCATTCTTCTCCTGGAATTCCTGAAACCTCTGCTCAAAGTACCCCACAAGCGCCTGCAGAAATGCCACAATCCAATGAATCTGTTGAGATAGCACCACCAGTGCCTGCTACTCCTAAACCTAATTTCCTTACGCCACCACCAACAGAAGAGGAACGACCAAAACTCAAGCGCAACTTTTTCCACAATTGGGTAGATTCTGCTGATTGGAGGCCCCAAGATTTGGCAATGATGACTCCGGAAGCAAGAGAGGATTATGAATGTTTTTTATTGAGCCATAGACCAAAGTATATTCCAATGAAACCCGAGCAAGTAGCAAAGTTATCCCCAGAAGATAGACAAGAATATGAGAACTCTTTAAAAATAACACAAACACCTAGACGTTACGCTCTTAGAAGTAGACCTTACTAAACTTTGTAAAACGTTTTGAAAAAATAAATGTATTTTAAAACTGAAATCTTGTGCAAGCTTTTGCCTGCAAAGCCCGCTCTTTCCGCCCGCGCGACCCGCCCGCCTGATTGGTGTACAAATATGTTGTACGTTAATATATATGCATGCACCCAAGCGTCGCTAATGACTGGCAACACATAGCAACGTATATAACGACGGCATATTTGATAAAAACATATTTTTATGGCAAAATATTTTACCACTGTTCTAATTCTAACTCCTATTCTTAAGATCTGACGCGGTCATCATGTAACAGTATATATGTATCAGTAGGTTTGCTAAATAATGTTGAACAACATGCAAATATTGACCATAACGACGACGTTGACAACCATGTTAACTTAGCAACTGCTTAGTTCGGTTTTGAGATATGTTGCAATTTTTTTATTTCTGGTTGGAAATTTATTGCTCAAAACGGCTCCTTTAAGAGCCATCAATAAAATAATTACAACGAATTTCGATTGCGTGTTGAAAATAAGAGAGGGATTGGGACTCACAACGTGCTACATGGTTGTAAGGCAAAAGAGTTTTCTACCGTACCGGGGGCGAACCGGTGACCTAAGGAATACTGATCTGGTAATAACTACTGTCCTTTGCTCTACCAACTGAGCTAACGGTAGATTTTAAAATCTAACTTTTCTATTTCATACTTTTATACATGCAAACTATCAGAAACCTCTTGTCGATTTTATACAGATACTTGTATAAAAGTTCATAGTAAGCCAAGATTAATCCCTCTATTGTATCACACACGTGGAGAGACGCTAAAAAATGCTTAGTCAGCAACTAAGTTTTGTCCAATTTCGTCCGCGTGATGTCATTACCTGCCTAAACTTGCCCGCGTGACCTCATTATTCCGCCTCACTCCTCCTCACTCCACCACACTCCTCCACCACACTCCTCCGCCCCACCTCTATGCTAATGATGATGCGCCGCCCTGAATTTTTAATGACGCGCCGCCCTGAATTTTCATGATGCGCTGCCCCTGCGCTGCCCTGAAAATCCGGATCAAACGATACCTAGATTATTATAAGTAATATCATGAAATGAGGAGTATTAGTCATTAAACCACCCGCTCGACGAGGGTCATTTATTAAAATTCCCGAGGGCCGTAGGCCCGAGGAAATTTTAATAAATGACCCGAGTCGAGCGGGTGGTTTAATGACTAATACTCCTCATTTCATGATATTACTTTGTAATATTATTTTTGCGTGAATTTCACCCAAATCAGTGTTCAGACACTGTCCAGGTGATGTGGTAATACTAATACGACCCGTAGTGACGTCAACTGAGGTCGTATTAGTTCTAATACGACCTGTACATTTGAGTAGGCGAGTAAATTAGTTAGTAATACAGCACAATAGAACAATAGAAATTCACGCAATCATGATATTACTACTGTAATCGCACAGCAAATTATTTGTGCGCTTTTATATCATTATTGAAAACTTATCTTTTTAAGAAATTTAGATTAATTTTACTTGTAGATACATTGAAATAAATGTAAAGCATTGAAACTGTGTACAGTATAATGCTATAATAATATTAACTATACCTGAAAAATCTAAGCAGAACATAGACGTTTCGAGTGGAGGCCGTTCACTAACGAAGGCATGTCACTCGAAACGTTGAAGTTCTACTATTTGCTATCGTTGCTCCCAATTAAAATGTTGCAATGCTGCAGTACCCTGGTTGCCAGAGGTTCTCGTATCTTTCGCCTTAATAGAACCACTGGCAACCAGGGTAAAACAAAATTTTCAAAATGCTGTAAATCGTGACCTATATATGTCCAAAGACTCCAAACAACGTGAAATTTTCGATATAGAATAATGTGAGCATCAAAGATTTCACTTCTGCCAAACACGAAGATGAAAAATCAAGAAAGCAAACTCGGATCGGAGAGTGGTATCGTGTTTAACCTTGGTGAACCGGCTATGTTGACATCACTGGGCTATAATATTACTGGAGTAAGTGCTCGGCATAAAAAGTGTCCGCAAACTTGAACATGGCGGATTTTCGCGCCATATGCATGACAACTGGTTCCTCCGGCTCATGGAATTACCGCTGACCAGGCCCAATTCTGCGCCCGCTACAATTTTCAGCCCCCCGTGGTTTTAGCAAAAATATTTTTGATTTTCGAAGTTTTTGCAGTAAATTCTCGTTGTTTTTTTTTATCTTTTTTTCGACTTTTGACCATTTGTTCAAAGATTTAAAAGTCGTGCACGTTATTCTCACCCCGATAAATTTAAGCAAAGGCGATATTTGAAACTCCAGAGCTAATATTTCACATACTATTGATATGCTTTTATTTTTTATTTTTAAAAAATAGTGGAATGGGAGAAAATGCATGACAGAATATAATCAATTACATAACAGGCTTTTTGTATAGTATAGCGTATTTAAAGTCCTGTCGTAGAAAATACAGAAACTTGGTTTTATTTAATTCAGTTAAATCAATTTCTTCCCTCAAATAAAAGGGGTTTTCTATTTAAACTGATGACTGAAATGCTTGATATATACAATTTTATGTGCCGAATAAGTGTTATATACAGGTGTAAAGGCACAAAACTTCAATGCTCTCTCCTCCGCAGAGGCTTTCGCTCCTTTGCCCAACAGCTACGCTCGTGTTCCAAGATCCGCCATGTAAAGTGTAGTGAAATGTATCTCATCGTAATTTTAAATCCTAAGAAAACTAAAGCCTCTGCGGAGGAGAGAGACTTCAATGTGCTTCTATTTATATTCTTTGTATATATAAATACTAGCTTGTGTTTAAATTATTATAGTATGCATAATCTAGGTGTTGAAGGGTCTTGTAGATGGAAATTATCGAGTCAGGCTTTCTTGCCATCCTACTTTTCCTAATTTTTCCTACTTTTTCCTACTTTTCTTCAACTTTCCTACTTTTCCTATTTTTTTTATTAAAAATTGCTTGATTTTCCTACTTTTTCTCATAAAATCCTACTTTTTTAAGACTGTTTGGGGAATCAGTATGTTAAAGATCTCAGGAGGAGAAGAAGTACATTTTCCGAGTATAAAATTTCATAGCATCTCTAGAATCATAATCAATAAATTAATGAAGACTCTGAAAGTGCCATTTGCGACGATCTATATAGAGATTCAAACTTTTCAGCTCCCCCCCCCCCCTTAGTCAATCAGTATATCATATATACAGGGCCGTAGCAACCGGGGGGGGGGGGGGAGGCTGCAGCCCCCAATAATTTACTACTAATAATTTTTTTTCAAAATCATGCAGACCTTTATCATTTAATCCATGCCAAACTGCAAAGAATGAAGATATTACCCATACTTTCTTGCAACTTATCAATATATAGTTAATTAAATATGCCTTCGCCCATTTAGTACTACTAAATTGTAAATTTCGACATACTAAAACGCTGTTTTCTGACCATTATAATTCTGTCAAATCTTCCCCAAAGTCCAGGAAATGACATTTCAGGGACTCTAATTTTAAAAATCTCCTCGGGCCTTCGGCCCTCGCTTTCAGCCGCCATCCATTCGAAAAGAGCTTCCTACGATCGTGATATATGCTCATGCCGCAGTGTGGATTGGTGCATTGTGTAGCCCAATACATGCATTTGAATTGTGTTGCTGCAGAGCAGATGCCTTAACTTTTATACTGATGCAATTTAAAAGTTTTGTGAAAAAAATCCTGCATAGATGAATGAGTACCGGTACATAAAAATATTGAGCACCAAGAATTCAAACAATTACGTCCCCATCAGATTACTAATGGTCTACCCCTTGCCACATATATCCTAGGGGGGGCAATTTTGTATATTTTTGTGTTATTTGCATCTCCAAAACTCCTACTTTTGTCCTACTTTTTTACACATTTTCCTATTTTTCCTAAAATTCTAGTCCTACTTTTGTCCTACTTTTCTGCACAAGGATGCCAGAAAGCCTGTCGAGTTGAAATTTACATGTATTTATTTAATAAACCTAACCTGGAACAGCTGCGAAAAATGCAACTATAGGTCCATATGGCAGCTAGGAATCGAACCTGTGGTCGACTATTATTCAATCGTCAGTGAGATGCCAACAAAATCGTGATAAAATCCAGGGGGCCAGAAGAAGCTAGGGGTGCCAGAATAAGCTCAGGATGCTGTGGGCAGCTTATCTGGGGATATGATTTCTACCTAGCTTTCTGGGTAATGACATGTTAGGTTAAGGATTCTTGGACCACTAAGAACTGAGAAAGTCACACATGCTAGTCAGACATCAAGTCAAAAATAACAATAAATTGGTATATAAGGTCCCTTCCAGTCCCAGGTGGATTTATTTGGGG